ACAGTCTGCTCCAGGAGATAAGTGAGAGTCGGCGCCTTTTGAGCCCGAACTAACATTTAGGTCTGATACGAGTTGTGCCTGTGCTGTGCAAAGGAACTAAGTTGTCTACACTGATGATAAATTAAAAAATACAGCAACTTAGTAATGGAGCTAAATAGATGTCCTCAGTCTGCAGACTGTTCCCCTTTTCTCATCTTCAGACGCATACTTCACTGGAAATCCGATGCGGTTTTCCTCTGAAAAAGCCTTTCATCTTCTAGACTTTTTTTGTTGCTGACAACGATCAAAGCTTGCTGCACACTTGGAATCAACCCACAGTCACATTAAGTGCAGAAAGATTTGGTATTGAGGCTCAGAATTACGAGGATCACCAGGTAAAAATCAAATGGCTGTTTTTGGCATTTCTTCTAAAATTAAAAATATTTTAGATGAATGTTTGTTGACTATGAAGAGCTGATGATTAAAAAGGAAGTGAAAATGAGTGAAAGCGCACATTCTTTCCTTTCGTGGAACAATGGCCATACCATGTATACATGACATCATAGCCTTATGAAATGATTCTGTGAAACCTGTAAAACCACAAACCCATCCCAAACACTGAAAAATCCTCCACCGTTTGTGGTCATGCTGATGTGTGATGTTAACCTTATCAAATAGTACTCAAAGTGTTTGTTTACTGTGTAAATACATGAGAGGTGCACAAGTGTCAAGCTGGCTTCAAGCATGACATTTCAACTAGTTAAAGGATTGGAAGTCTGAAGGAGGCCATGTTTTTAAAAGTTGGATTCAGTTTTGACCCCAACCCCCGGGCCACGCACCGGTCCGTGAGTTGTTTGGTACCGGGCCGCTAGCGTTGAGGCTCGGGTGTGAAATTTATGGTTTTCAGGGTTTTCATCATTAACTCAGTTTCCCTGGGTCTTTTCCTATGTTGTAGTTGTGTGTCTTATTTTGAAATAGCGACCAGAGAGCATTAAGGGGCAGAGAGAGGAGGATGTTACTCTCAATGTTGTTGGCACATTTCAGGAGGACGGTGCTAATAAAGTTACTCAATCACACAGTGATACCAGTTTTGGTCATGTAATTTTATTTTGTTGTATCTGCGACACCTCAAAGGCCGGGCCATGAAAATATTGTCTGACATTAAACCGGTCCGTGGTGCAAAAAAGGTTGGACTTTGTGAGAACCAACTTCTAACTTGTACTGTAGGGACTTATCCAAAGGTCAACCTGAGCCAAGAAAAACTCCTAAAAACTAGTCAGCATAAAACCAACAGTTTAGGATTGACAGAGCCAAGATAAACATCCTGGCTTTTTGGGTCTGTATTTGGTTCGCTGGGTTCACACAGTAAAACATCTTGTTTACAAATGTGTAACATGGGGTGGGGCTACAGCTCAGGAGGTAGAGCAGGTCATCTACTGACTGGAAGGTTGGTGGTTCGATCCAAGGGAGGAAATACCTCCAATTTAGTGAAGTACCTAACAGGCCAACACCCAGACCTGTTCAAAAAAATCCAAGTTAAGCACGTTTCAGTTCAGAGTATGTTGTCCTGAAATGCACATCTCCATTGGGTTTGAGAAAGCTGACACTGCCATGGAGAAGTCAACAAAAATTTCTGCAACGGCTAACACCAAATGCTAATGCTATGCTAACATAAAAGCACTGTAACACCAACAGGATACCATGGCAACCATCTTAACATTTCAGCCTGTGTCTTGTCATCAAAGCATGTTGTCAACATTTTAAATAAATGAGCAGCCACCATGTCAAAGTTTAAATATGTTGGTTATCAAGAATTCTACTGGTATTGGACACTGGAATACCAGTACTACAGTTCTGGGATTTGCGATCTTCTCTTTCCAAGACTGTGCCAGGTTTAAAAGGCTTGAGAATATTGTCTGGTGTAAATGTGATTTCCTACAAGTGTGATGTCTCTGAACTCCAAGACACGGAGACGTTACTTACAGTCTGACTGCAGGAGTGTTTGGAAGACACGTGGAAGTTGACCATATCTTCACCCACGATGATGTATGAAACTCCATAACCATCGTCAGCGACCTGACATGACAGCGAAGACACGAGGTTTCGTGTTAACGCCTCACGTACCACCCACCACAAATACATTATCTCGTCTCCTTGTCTTAAAAGATGTAAATGTGCCCACTCACAGGTCCAAAGCCCCCACCAAGCGAGATGAAATCTGGGTGGTTCTTCAGGTCGAACAGATTCATCTGCTGAACTGGAGTCTGACTGGTGGAGAGACGCCAAGGCTCAGACAGAACCTTTAATGAGGGATTGAGTGAGAAAAACATGGGGTGAACATGCAGAAGCAGATGTGACCAGCTAGAAGACACCAAATCACACAAAACCTGATTATAATGTTTTGAGTGTCGCTGCAGAGCACCAAGGTCCCGAGTTCACTTCCACCTTCAGGCCTTTCTGTGTGAGTGCTGAAGATATGCGAAGCCTATCTGAGAGTTTAGTGTGCTGGAAGGTAGAATTATTGTAGAGACACGGACACTGCCCTCGATGTAATAAAGGCCTGAGTGTGTCAGGAATTTAGGAGTAGGTTTCTAGGAGGCCCTCGCCCAGTTTGAACTGTGAAACATTAACAAAGATGTTAATGTTGAGTGAAATTCCCCAAGGGATACCTGGGAGGGGCTCTCAGTGTTTGCAGTTCGTTAACTCTGTTTTGTATGTGCTTTAAAGGAATTTGGTGTCGCTTGGGTAAGGAGATTACTTTTATGACCCCCAGGAAGTCACAGACAGACACACACACATCCACACGCACACTCTCTGACATGTGCACACACATACGGGTACGTGCACACACAGGCACTCACATGCTCGTGCACATAGACACAGAGTTTGCAGCACACTGTGGGGGTTTTATGATGGGGTCGCTCCTACAAAACTGTTTCACAAACAAAGGAGTGAAGATTTTGCAGAGGGACGGCCTGGCAAGTCTTCCCCTCTAGAAGATGCATGCTTAAATGAAGATGAATAAAGATGAATAACGTTTTTGTGAAAATGACTACTGAGTCCGGTGCATCTCTGGAGGCCCGAGAAATAAAAGAACCGGGGTGAAACCAATTTCGCAACAGTGCAAATGGTCGTCTGTCGCTGTGGTTGTTTGTCTGTGGTTGTCTGTGTTAGCCCTGCAAAACGTCCAGGGTGTACCCTGCCCCTCACCCTGTGGTAGCTGGAATAGGCTGCAGTCGACTCTTAATTGGATCAATATGGATTGCACAAAGGGAGCCAATAGTCATGTATTCATAATATGTTAGATATGCATCTTTAAAGCAGCTGATCAATGACACAGTTCATTTTGTTGTTGCGCTCTGAATTGTTTTATGGTTTGTATGAATAAAACTGAGACAGTGTTAAATTTCTACACTTATGATATGAGCTCTCCAATCCATCAATACGACTGTTGGGTCACTTTTTCTCTTTACTCACGAAGCATGTTGTGTGCAGTATAACTGGGAACTAGAGCCTGAGGACGTAACGTCACCAGGATACTGTTCTGATCTGAAAGCTACGTCCACACTTGGGCATATATGGGAGCGTTCACTTTCTTCTATCAGAGTCTTTGGTGTTTGTGTCGTGTTGCAAGTTTGTTTTGTCCAACAAGAATGCTGCTACAGAAGTGCACGTCCATTCAAATCAATGCAATCTGTTTACATATGAAGACAGTCACGACTTTTGAAAGAGCTGAAACTCATTCGCGTTGGTCCCGTTTAATCTGTTTGGACTTTTAAACCAGTCTATGAATACCAGTACATCTAAACGTGGCCATCCTCCGGAAACGAGCCAAGGCTTACTTCTTTGAGGAAAGGCGACTCCACTCCCAAGTATTTGGAGACTACGTAAAGGCAGAAGAGATGTCTGTCGATTCCTGCTCCGGTCATAGCCATCCGATAAAGGTTCTGGTGTCTCTCAGAAGCCAGTTCGAAAAGGCGTCTGCATTCCTCCTCCGTCTGTCAAAGCAAACAAACGTCTGTCACGACCAGTCCTGTCTGTACTTAGTAGCATTTATGAACTTACTGCTGCGCTATGTGGGTGAATGTGTACACATGTTGCTCCTGCTGGATGATTTAACACATAATTACCAACAGTTTGATCCACACGGCTTACAGTTGGATTTCTGTAGACGTGTTAAAAGGTGTTTGTGTGTAATTGCTGGTGAATACAGTGTAGTGCCCTGCAGTGTGTGTTCTACAGACACAGCAGGCAACTTTCATGTTCACTGCTGATGCAGAGAGGCGCTATGAACGGTATCCTTTCTGCCATTACCCAGCTTGTTGACCTTAGGCCTACGGCTGAGTTACTTATTCCAATGTAGTTCTCACTGGTTCACTCAGCTAAGTTTGGACAGGCACCTTGACCACGGGCACTCTGCATTCATTTTTTCTTTTTCAACTTTAAGCTTAAACAAATGAATAACAGGTATTTTAGTACTTCAGTACCTCTCCACTCTCCAGAGCTTTGATGAAAGCACAGCTGTCGTTGGAGCAGGAGCGCACAGTCTCTGTCCGGCCTTCCCTGAACAGACGGGTCATCGATGCCTCGTAAGTCAGACAAAAGCCACCGCGATCCTGGAAGCAGGAAAGTGAAAGCAGGTGGTTTGAAGCACTAAAAGCAAAACTGGACATGCTGGCTGATGTGTGTGC